TCCTGTTCTTTTGCAGGAACAAACTGAACCCTCCACAAGAATCCTCCAGTTGTTATGCAGCTGCACAGCAGTGTGTTCATAAAACAGCAGCATGACTCGATGGTCTTTGCAATGAAAGTGAGGGGCCGTCAAATCACAGCGAATTCTATGAAAACACAACAACAAGAGCAGAGTGCCACATTTCAGGAACAGGAAGTTGTGAATGTGACATGTCTGCTGAAGGCTTCAGCATTGTCCAGGTCTGCAGCAGTATGGCACTGTTTGTGCAGCACTCACATCCATGAAGGGTCCCGAGTAGCTGCAGAGTTTGGTTCATGACAGCTGGAGCGAGTGAAGCCGTGTTCACGTTGGTCAGGAGGCAGGAACCAGAGTTGTGTAACAGCTCAGACAGCAACAGGGAGACTGGAGATCAAAGGCTGTGTTGTGGAGAAAATAACAAGACGAAGCCCTGGAGCTGCTGAACAGCTCTGGCTTTAGAAACATCAGGACTTTCCAGGATTCCCTGGAAAAATGTTGCAAGCCATCAAGAGTTTCCCAGTCAGAGCTGCAGAGGTTAAAATGAGTAATGCCAAAAACACAGAGCTGCTGCCGCACAGTAAAGATATAAACACAGGAACCTGCCCAGTAGTACGGGGTGTCTGCTGCTCCTGAATTGTACCTGAGGAACACTGTCATGTTACTGGAACCAGTTCAGACGACTCGTCTTATGCAGTTCCACATGATGGAGAGAAACTGCATCAGTGAAGAAACTTGCAGGGGTATGAAGTACTTCAGTAGAAGTAGTACCATCACAGTGTATGGTGCTCCATCTCATGGTTCTGACAGGAAAACCCAGACTGAACAGAGCCAGCTTTGTGATACTGGTTGTCCTGGACTGCAGTGTTGGGCCCAGTGAAGTTGAACTGGTACAGGCCTGTGGTCCCAGCGCTCCCCAGTAACACAAGCTGAAGAAATTTGCACTAGCTTTACTTTACAGGTCAGTAATTTCCTGATGAATTCTGATTCGTCAGTTGTTCATGTAGTTAGGGCCAACTGTTGGGTCAGTCACTTCTGGTCAGTCAGCTCCACTTTGTGTAACAGTATGTGCAGCTGAACAGGCTAAATGTGTGTCTGCTGACGAGCTCCTCACATGGAGAGTCAGGTTTCCCATGATTCATGAAACTGGGCTCTTCTGTCAGAGGTCTGCACCTGCTCCTGTCATCCTCTGAGAGGTTTTCATGCTTATTGTCTGGAGTCATGTCACTGTGGGTCCAGTCGTCCACAAACCACACCTCAGTCACATGTTGACTGGGGCCTGAAGCAGGTTTCTTACACTCGAATGAATTTCCTGTGACTCAGGCAAGAAAACAAACATGTCCTGAGTCTGTGTCTGTGTGCACCAGTGGGCTGACAGGACATGTTCAACTGTAATGAAAGGAGGAGGAGGACATGCTGGGAAAGGTGACAGCTGCTTTCCTGTTTGTGTCTGTCTGGCCTCAGCAGCAGCAGACCTGAACTCAGTGGAGGTGTGTACTTGCTCAGGTGCACTCTGATCTCTGTCTCAGGATAACAAGAGTTAGAGCATCTGGTTTGGCTCCAGTTCTGACCTGAAACATGGCTCCTGTTGGGTATTTTGTTGTGGTGAAACCTGAACTGTTAGGGCAGATGATGCTGATGATGACGGGAGTAAAGAAAGTGTGACAGGGAGCGCTGACAGTCGAGTCATTAACAGGGAGGAGAGGACACATCCTACAGCCGACTGGTGTAGAGCCGTGGCTGCTGACGCCCATCTCTGGTGTTTCCACTGCATCATCTGATGTCTGTTGGTCTGTGAGAGGAGCTTCTGAGAGGCGTTCACTTCACAGGTTGGAAAGGTTCAAACACACACCTCATGTTTCTCCTCAGTAAAAGTGTGGTGCTCTCCCCACTAGATGAATCATTGAAAACTATTTAGTAACTGATAATCATTTTATCCTCTTTTTTTAGCTGAAAATCCAAATAATTTCTCATTCCAGGCTCAGATGTGAGGATGTAGGATCCAGACAGGATAGTACATCTCCTGGTGTCACTGTGGGACACCGGGACAGGTAATCTGGTATTTAAAAGACAAACGAGAAAATAATCACGAGTGGATCACTGTGGATCAAGCTGCAGTTAAAATCAGCTGCTTGTCGACCAACTACAAAGTAAAAGCTCACCAAT